TACAGTGGTTGCCTGGCAGAGTGATGGTGGAATGTTAGCGTGGCAGACATGCAGGGCCCTTACAGAGCTGGCAGACTAGGTTCAAAGCAAAAAAGGAATTTATTTAATATCAACAAGTACATCTATGAAAGAACCAATCCCGAAATGCAATTTTCCAGAAGTAATCCCCCAAATTTCACCATGAACTGTTGAGCATAATTTATTAAATTGATTTGTTTGCATTTAAATATTTACACTCCTGTGAATATGAGGAAGAAAAACTGTCTGCCGGTAAATATAGCACCACTGGTCAACACTTGTAAGTTTCATGATCTGGGATTTGAATGCAGAATACGTGGGAATGAAATCAGCTTGCCAAAGCTATGTGTTCCATTGTAGTGTAATTACCTCTTAACTGCATATTGAAAGGGCTGTTGTTGGCCCAATGGGTCAGCATTTCCCAGAATAGAAGATCAGAGGTGAGGTCTACTGCAGGTGTGGGTCAGATCTTGGGCCAGGCCATGCTAGAAAACATGAAGTCCAGAGTTGATAAGGAAAAGTATAGCACCCAGTCAGTCTCCCATAAAAACCTTAACATGGATCCCAGGGTTGGGGGAAGAGGGATGTGGACTAGGAAGTTGGCCATTCACATGTTTTGATGCACAAGTGTTGAGGACAAATGTTCCCTCACGTATTCACTCAGACTTCTATTACACATTTAGTGTCTCTAAGAGGACAGTTATCTTAAGATCTTAGAGAAATGAGCAAGAAACCAAGTGTACACAGCCCTGCCTTGAAGGATTTTGCCATCTGGGCTGCATACATCTATGCTAAATTCATCAGTATATCATTTCTCAACAAACTTTGGGATCAGGCTTAATTTGAAGATGATTGTGATTTAGTGCATGCTCTGGATATTAAAAGTAAATAGAGTTACAGGAGCATAAAGGCTTTGGATGTGTGGAAGCAAAAGTATCCTAGCTACTGAACATGTTCTTGAACTGCAGTGTCCAGGTTTCTATCTGAGTCTGTTATTGACTGGTCTAGAGATTTAACAATTTTTTCACTTCTTTGCATCTAGTTCCTTAAATGAGAATAATTGTATAAGAGTATTTAGTGATGACTGTGAAGCTTCACTCATTCATGTCTGCTTAAAGAGAGCAAGCACTGAATAGACATTAGGTGGAGGTACAGAAGTATGTTGCTCTTGTCCTAACAGTCAGATTACTGTGCTATATTTGCGGGCTGTGGTCAGTAGGCAGGCAAGGGAGCACATGAAGTCTGAGGCTAGATTGGTCAGTCAAGTCTTGACACTATGATATTTTTATAGTATGATTTTTGGAAATTAAGTATC